TGGAAGAGGGGCAACCGGGACAGAATCCAGTGCCCCGACCAGGACTAGAACCCGGTGTGCCGGCGCCGCAAGGCGGAGGATTAGCCTATTGAGCCGTGGTGCCAGCTCATGATAATTTTAGCTGAATTTTACCAAAAAAGGTAAAAAAATTTAATATACAATAACCCAGACATTTTTCTCACTTTCCACGTTTCTTGCTTCCTGATACCAAACTGTTCCGGTTAACCAGGTATGTGTTACATTTTCATAGTCCCAGGATTTAGTCAAGTGTTCAAGTTCTTTGGTGTCTTTGCAGTTTTTATTGATTGCCAGCATTCCCTGGTTTGTGACTGCATCACTCAAATCTGCCTCCAGGCTCACATGGCCTTCTCACCTTCTGTAGTCAAATCTACTTCCTCTCATAGCCTTTTGACTGCATTCCTGGCCCCCCAGATTATCCTAGATAACCCCCTTTTCTCAAGATCCTGAATTTGATCACTTCTGCAAAGGCCTTTGGCTGTATGAGACAACAGTCACATGCTCCAGGGACTAAGTAAGACCTGGATGTCTTCAGGGATCTTCCTTCAGCCTACCAGAGAGGCTACGGCACCCTGCACTGATCTCTGCAGATGTCTCCTTCTGCCATCCCCATCGTCCCAAGGAGCACCGCCACTGCTGGAATCCTGAGAACCACTGTTCTGACAGCCTTCCCATTATGAGAGGCAGGAAAAAAAAATGAAAACTGTGGGAAGCAACTGGGAGCAACTCGGACTAGACTGTTACTGGAATTAAGACTTATTCTATGCATCTGCTCTCCCACAATATGGCGCTGGGAGAGAAGAAAACAGCTTCTACACAGCTGCCTCCAGTTCAGCCAATAAACTGTAGGACTTGCTCCTGATTGGAGGAGAGCAGCGTACTCGGCGTGTGGGCAGCCGAGTTGGGATTGGCAGAGGAGGACTATAAAGGAAGAGAGAGACGGCATGCACCAGAAACATCTAAGGGGAACATCTAAGGGAACACCTGTGCAGCCCCCGAGAGAGCCGGCCGGCGGTGTGCCGCTCCCCTGCGGAAGTGGGGAATGTGGCCAGGGGGAACTGCCCTTCCACGGAGGTGGAAGGGACAGTAGCCAACCCGGGAAGAACCAGCAGCAAACCCGGGGAGGGCCGAGCAGACAAAAGAACAGCGCAGGGTCCTGTGTCGTTCCTCCACGAAGAGGGGGAGCGACAGAAAACGAACTGACAACCACAGTCTACACTGAAGTAACACGGTCATCACCAAGTCATCGACTAGAACAATGGTGTTATCATTTCATAACATATGATTCAATGTTTCCTACTTTACTCTTTCATAAAATATGAAATGACTGCATGAAGAATATGTGGCAGATACTGAGGACTCTGTTCAGGGCTTCCTTCCAGGCTCTTTGTCTTGATAGTAGGTCCTGAGCATATGATGCCCAGAGAGGTAGACAGCTGACACAATACCAATGCGCCTCAGCACAGACATTTTAAGCTGTGTTTCCATGTTTCGGTTGGAAGGTTAGATTTAAATATTTGCCACTAGGACTTAAAATACATTCAAACAAAAGGAAATTTGTACAACCCAAGCTAAAATAAATGTTTCATTTTCCATTAAGAAGATGTATTACTAGTAATGATAGACACAGTCAAACTGATCTTTAATAACTTATCACTGTTAAGAATTACTTGATTGGCCACATCCTAATTTCAGCATTGCCCACATCTATCCTCTAGCAGGATCCAAATGAAATGAACACCAGGCAGCTGCTCTTCGACGTGCTCTCAGAAGCACTTCCACGGAGCACATGGCCTCACTTCTCTCTGCTCACACGGCCTCTAATGTTCTCTTCTTGTCACTCTGCTTCCATCTGAAGACTCCACTATGTGCACTATGTGCACTGGGTCTGGCCTCTGTCGCTGCTTTTCCGTTTCAGTTGTGGAAGGAGCTCAGTTGGATATAAGATCAATTACTCCCCAGCAGGAGCAGACTTTGGCACAAGCAAAGCTTCTCCCAGTTGGTTATGCTGCCCAGATCCCTCCACTAGTTTCTCATTGTCCCTGGAAGGGGTTCTGACTTCCTACAAGACAGAGGAGACCCTCCCTTTTGGGGTTCTTACTGAAACTTAAACCATCTTTCACAATGGGTGTCAGCCTAGCACTTCCCAAAGCATGCCAGGATAACTCATAGCTGCACACACACACTTCCTCTGACAACATCTTATTCATCATTCACAACTCACTTTGGGGTCATCCACTTGGTCAGGTTTCTCTGAAACACCCCGTCTAGACTCTGGCCAATCCTTCCATATGTTCTTAATGTTCCCAACACATGTTACTGTGAGGGTGCTCATGACCTTCCATTTACACTTTCTAAGCCACACTTCTGTGTCTGCATATTAAAATGTGAATTTCCATACAATGTCCTATCACAGGCATTTCCACGTCCCCAGTTTCTAACCCACCACTGACACCTGCTAGATGACAAAGATGTTTTTATTTGCCAAGGACCAAAAACAGAATTTTGTCGCTACCTTCTCCTTGCTTTTAAGTCTACTTTGGAAAACACTGTCTATGATTTATTTACACATAAGTAAAATGTAAGTTCACACTCAGGAGTAGCTACTTTTTGTTCTATATGTTTCTAAGGGCAAGATAAACATGGTTTTCTCTACTAAAATGTTCTACAAATGAATAAGCCTTCATGATGTTTCTGGGGACAGGAAGCCTATTTAACATGATGATAGCACATGAAATGGGCTCCTCTATTCCTTGCATAAAGATAACTCTGTATCCCAGGGCTGGAAAGGATCCAGTCCCACTACCGGATGATTAAATCCGCTCTATAATATCAGAAACAATCCTTGAAACCTGTGTTTGAGGACATCTAGCACCCCCCCCTCAAAGAATCATGTTTCAGTTTTTACATGCATCTTTTAAAAAAAAATCACATACTTTGACACTTTGCAACCTTCTGGCCAATTTTAAATGAAATTGTAAAGTAATGGGGGAAGGAAATCCATGCCTGCAAAATTTAAATTAAAAACCCAAGGAGCACAAATCATATTAGGCCACCTTTTTGCTTTTTAATTTGAGACTCAAGAACGCTAGCTGCCCTAAAATAGCCATATCTAGGATAATCAAGATTACAACAGGAAGCCGGCTGAGCATAAATTGCTATGGCAGGAAACTGATTAGTTCAGCAAAGAGACAGGATGCTTCTTGTCTCTACTGTTGTCTGAGTTAATTCTATGCCTCCTCCGTGGGCCAACTGCTCTGAGATAAAGGATTATAAAGTTGCCTCATGAAAGCATACTGAAGTACAATTAATAATAAATGCAAGGATGATATACAAAGCACTCCCTGAATTGCAAGGAAGCTGCAATCAGTGAGCAAAAGTAAGAGCAGGAGGGAGTCTAGTACTATTATGGAAAACCCCACTGTGATCTATAGGAGAGAAAGTTTTTTTTGTTTTGTTTTGTTTTTTTTGTTTTTACAGGCAGAGTGGACAGTGAGAGAGAGAGAGACAGAGAGAAAGGTCTTCCTTTGCCATTGGTTCACCCTCCAATGGCCGCCGCGGCCGGCGCACCGCGCTGATCCGATGGCAGGAGCCAGGAGCCAGGTGCTTCTCCTGGTCTCCCATGGGGTACAGGGCCCAAGCACCTGGGCCATCCTCCACTGCACTCCCTGGCCACAGCAGAGAGCTGGCCTGGAAGAAGGGCAACCGGGACAGAATCCAGCGCCCCAACCGGGACTAGAACCCGGTGTGCCGGCGCCGCTAGGCGGAGGATTAGCCTAGTGAGCCGCGGTGCCGGCCGAGAGAAAGTTCTAAACAATGTGCCTATACCTGAAGGATGCTCTCAAAGTAAGCAACAAGCATGCTCTGAAAGAGGGCTTCCTCGGGATAATCTTTTCTCTAAAATGTGAACAATCTAAAGTGAGATCGCTTGAAATGTGTTGAAGTTTATTACTCAACCTTTTATCCTGTGGTGGGCAGAATAATGCCCCTACAGAGATGTCCGTAACTGAGACCTCCGGTGAATAAGTTACCTTATGGGCAAGAGGGACTTTGTAGGTGTAGAGCTGAGGACCCTGAGAGTGGTGAGCATCCAGCTGGATCCAACCTGACCACCCAGTTCCTTAAATCTGGAGGGCCTTTCCCAGCTGGGTTCAGAGGGAGAGGGAACTGCGACTATGAAAGAATGGTCAAAGGGATGCGTTGTTGCTGGCTCTGAAAGCGGCGAAAGGAGGCCAGGAGGCAGGCAGGGCATGTGGGTGGCACCTAGGAGCTATGACCAGAAGCGGATGGATTCTGCCCTAGAGCACTGAGAGAGGACTGCATCCCTGCTGACACCTGGGAGCCTAGGTAAGTCCAGGGAGACTGGGGTGGAAGCTCTGTTTACAGAACTGGTGAGATCTAACCAACCTGTGCAGACGTAAGCCAGTAAGTGTGTGACAATTTGTTACAGCAGCCACAATGCAGAGTCATATTCCTTCACAAGGTTTATGAAAACACAAGAAATGACACAAACAGAAACCACCTGCTGTTCCTCCAAAAGGCACTGTTTAACAGATACACTAACATTTGCACATGGCTAATTTCTAAAATGTTTTTCAAAGACAAAAGAGGTCCTGAAATAGTAGATCATTCAAAGAGAAAAGATTCAACAAACACTTTTAAAAAAATGAATACAAAAGAAATGTTCAATTAGATTGAATTTCTCTTATGCTTGAATGGAAACACTTGTTAGGCTATCTCCCTACCTATCCTCTTCTCCCCACAAACTTCACTTTGAAGCATTCTGCAGAAGTTTTTAAATAAACATTTATTGATACGCATGTTTTTAGAATTTATTATGGTAATGAAAATGCTTAAAATCCAATTTGCTAACTGAAGCTTTTCTATCGTCGAACAACATGGCATGATTCATTCATATTTTGAGCCTTATTTGATATCCTACTATTTAGAAAAAGGTAGCATAGCCAATCCTTCTTACTCACCACTTTGCAGCAGAGAGGCCAAAACCACCACATCAAACCAATGCCCAGGAGCAGCAACAACACCAAAACAGCGATGAGGGCTGCAATCCCATTAGACTAAAGTTGGCAAAAGACAAAAACAAAGCAGTCAGCAATGCTCAGAGTCAAATCCCACGGGCCTTCTTTTTTTTAAAATCTTTGCTTAACATGTAATTCTTGTAAACCCTTATAGCACAGTGCAATATTTCAACACATGCATACAGTGTAATCTGAACAACTCAGTCATCACCACCTTCCAGCCCTTCCTCCAGGAACTGATAAACTCTTCTCCAGTTCTTTATACAGAATATATTAGATTATTATGAACTCGTACCCCACAGTACTATCCACAGAACCTGCTACTTCTGACTGTACCGTGTTGGCCTTTATCCAACCTCACCCTACCTCACTTCTACCCAGCCTTCCCAGCCTCTGTAACCACATGCATATTTTTTAAATGAAACACTAGAAAATAATACAGAAAACAAAAATATACCAAACCAGATTTCTGCTATTGTTCTTTATGCCCTTTAAATTCAATAAATTACTTTATATTCTGTTTAACTTATTTTATGTTAAGACATGCAATACGAGGCCGTGGCATAGCAGGTAAAGCCTCCGCCTGCAGTGCTGGCATCCCATATGGGCACCAGTTCGAGTCCCTGCTGCTCTACTTTCAATCCAGCTCTCTTCTATGGCCTGGCAAAGCAGTAGAAGGTGGCCCAAGTCCTTAGGCCCCTGCACCCATGTATGAAACCCGTTAGAAGCTCCTGGCTGTTGACTTCAGATCAGCGCAGCTCTGGCCGTTGCAGCCAATTAGGGAGTGAATCAGTGGATAGAGACCTCTCTCTCTCTCTCTCTGCCTCTCCTTTTCTCTCTGTGTAACTCTAACTTTCAAATAAATAAAAAAATCTTTTAAAAAAATGCAACAATAAACACAAAATCTTCCAAAATGCTGCAGACTATTTAAAATACACTCTAAAGGAATGTAGGGAAAAAATCACCATTTGGGGTTAATAGATCCTTTTAAAAAATTTATTTATTTATTTATTTAAAAGGCAGAGAAAAGGAAAGAACTTCTTTCTTGTTGGCTCATCTCCCAAATGGCCCCAACAGCCAGGACTGAGCAGGCCAAAGCCAGGAACCAGGAGCTTCATCTGGGTCTCCCAAATGGGTACAGGGGCCCAAAGACTTGGGCCAACATTCCACTGCTCTCCCAGGCACAATAACAGGAAGCTGGATCGGAAGGAGAGCAGCCAGGATTCAAACTGGTGACCATATATAATGTCAGCATCGTAGGCAGCTTAACCCACTCTGCCACAGCATCAGCCCTGTGGACCCTATTTTTTGCATCTGGGTAAGGATTATTTCAATTCCAAATATCATGACCCCAAAAGTAGATTTTAGACAAATCCACATAGACTTTTCAATGATGTAACACTACTTATATATTTAAATGGTAAAAACAAATAAATATACAAAATCAGTAGATGACAAACCAATAACAACCATTCTTGTTGGCACAGTGTGTGTAAAATCAGTACAAGAATGTGAATTTTTATTTTTAAGAAAATATTAATTTCTGTGTAGAAGGATAAGGAAAAATGTAAAAGCAACGTTGCTCTTGTTCAATGAACTTGTTGGGTGGGTTCCAGCCCTCTCCTGGGGGTGCAGCTTAGGGGTATTTTCCCCACCCTACTCCAAGGGAACTAGCAGGTTCAATCACTGTGCTGATGAAGTCCTAGGAGGAATTTCAGGGACTCCACTCCCAGAAAGCCCTCTGCCCAGCATTACCCTAGGAGAGGGCAGGGAGGAGAAGCAGAGGACCCACACCCATATCCAGAGAAACTCCTGTCTGAATGCAAACGGGGCCGTCAGTGCTCTGTTGAGACGCCCACCTGCTCTGTCGAGGTACTGTCTTCATTACCAACCTACAGCAGGCTGGGCACTTAGCTCTTTCAGGCTGCTCTCTTCTGTATTTCTCTTCATTAAACCTTGCCACCTCGCTTACTACTACTCGCCGTCTCACATTCGAGTTCTTTCTTGCACAAAGACAAGGACCTCCAAGCAGCCGTCTCTGGTAACAGCCAGAAACGGCCTCTCCCGATGATATCTTAAAGATCTCTACATGTTAACCTTTAGCATGCAACACAATGCAATTAATCCATATGAGTTTCTAGTTATTTATTTATCTTTTCTGCCATAATTCTCTGAGAGCCGCAGGAAGTCAGGGGCTAAACCCAACCTACATACCACTGAACATGCCTGGCATTTAAAAACTATTTACTGAGAGGATGAACTCCAAACAAAGAAGACTGCAAACTTCATCAATATAAAGAAGAGCATTTTTCTGAAATTTCAGTGTAAAGATAATTTCTATGGAAACAAGGTGTCTCTCCCAAACTCTTACCTGCTGGGTTGGTTCCTCAGTGTGAATGTTTTGTTTTTAAAGGAAAAGAATTCAGGAAAGAAAAAAGAGAAATGGGGAGAATGAAAGAAAGACAGAGAGGAAACTTCATAATAAACGTCTAAGTTTCCAGGAAAATATCTATGCATTCTGTTCTTAAAGAAAACAATGCAGAGCATGCATCGGGCTACTCAGGGAAAGACTGTGCACCTCTCCACACAGAATTTCAAATGTTCATAAAGAAATCCTGCTACTCTCCGTGGGGTTAAGCTCTAAAATCTAGGCACACAGGAACAGAACAAGAAAATTATGGCACAGAAATACATGGAAAATGGTGGGACCCCATGGCAGAAATGTGGCCAAATGGCTACACTCTTACTCTCACCTTCAAATAGAAAGGCATAGGTAAGACACCCCAATCTGAGACTGCCCATGAATGAAATGAAAGCGGCACGCCCTACCAGATCTTCCACACATGAGGATCCCATGAAAGTGGCTCACCATTTGCCTAGGCTATGCCACTTTCAAAAGACTTCTATAAACTTCTAGTTCCACTTTTTCTTAGAATTCATTCACATCCTATGTTCAGAAAAAGGATGTACAACCACAGGTCATACGTTTGCAACAATTTAGTAATTACTTTGTTCTTTATATGCATGTGCCATAAACAGGATACTCAGATAATCTTGCTGACACATTATAAAGTAGGGGGCTGGCCCTGATACGTACTAGAAATCCTGATTCTTCTCTAAAAGAAATGTCTCTGTTAGTAGAACTGAAAAAATACCAGGGACCTCCAGATGCAAATATACATTTATTATGACAATATTATCTCAACTGATTCCAAAGACTTTCCTAAAAAATTCTAAAATAAAATCATTACTTCCTAAAGATCGACAGACTTCATCTTTCTCATACTTAAACCAATCACAACAGAAAGGGGGAAGTCACAGGAAGTAAAGAATTTAATGCAACAAAACCTTGATATATCTGTATGAGACACAGCCCCTGGCTGCAAAGTTCCCAGACACTGGTTCAATTAGCTGTATAAAAATTCAGGCTTTCCCATTTCCTTTGTTTTGACTGCCAGAGACATTATCAGAGCATGCAAGATTTCAGTCATGAAAGGGAAATAATTTCATTGTTCATATAACTTCACAAACACATTAAGGAAAGGTCAAACACATAGGCTATTTAATGACCTGAGTCAGACAAAGAAAAGTTGAAAGTAGATATGATTACACATAGATCTGTGTTGTGGACGGCAACTAAAAGCTTCTCACTTCTACTTATGCAAGCCCATTTTAAGCAGATCTCAAGTCAAAAAAATCTTAATAAATATTCAACATTTGGGTGTCATTCTGCTTGAACTAAATGGAATAGTAAAAACACATGACTGGAAGCTAAATATAGCTTTTCATTCATCCAAAACTTATCTGAGGAGCACCCACTACTTGCTAAGCAGTTAAACAGGTACTAGGGTTAGAATTTTAAACAAGTATTCACAAAGTTCACAGTTTAGTTAGTGAGACAAACCTCAGACAAATAAGTATAACTATGAGGAATGTGGAAGGGAAATATAATAGAAACATGTAAAGTAAGGACTAACCTAGTGTAGGGTTCTGAGATGACCTCAAGTAAGGATGAGAAAACAAAGCTGCAGGGGTGGCCAGATTAGCATTTTCTTAGAAAAATCTGAGGACCACTATAGACAGAGCACAGAGTCTGAAGGGACTGACAGACACCTGCAGAAGCCGGAGAAAATAAACTCAAATTTCTGAAAAGCTGTAGTTTATGACAGAGAGAACTGGCCATTTGTTGGATGAATGGCCATTTGTTAGCTGACCTTTCAACTGCCCATTTGTTGCATCAATTCTTCCTAATGGCAGTTCTGAACAACAGTATTCTCAGACAGCTATGAGACTTGGGGTGAAAGTTAAATGAGGACTCCAATCTGAGGTTCAAGACCCAGATGTTGGTCAAGGCTATGAAGTCAAAATTATTTCAATGGTTTACTGGGGACATGCCAGAACCTGGAGCTTGGTAGTGTAGAAGAAACACATTTTCCATTCATCCTGGACATGTTAAGTTTTGGATTTCATCTTCATATAAATTTCTTTCCTTCATTAAAAGCAAGTTATACAATAAAAGAGCTTCACTCTGCAAAATAGACCTGAACTTCTAGCTAAGAGAATCACAGAAGTATAACAACGAATCAGGGTCATACTGTACTTGTAAAATAACTATCAACAAGGGATGAATCGTTCAGAAGTTTCACAACTGCATGAATGATGTGTTGTAATCTACCTAGAAAATAATCACAGCAATCTCATAGACAAAGCAGCCACAGAGAAGGGGAAATGGGTTCCCACAATTTTGTTCCTGGGAATTTAGAGTAAGAAAGAAAAAAACAGTCACAGAATAAATGCTAATTTCATTTACTAAAGTGATTTGGATTACGCTATTTCAGGAATTAACACAGGCCAAATAAGGCCCATCTATTTTGTAAGGTCCTTGTGAGTTAAGAATCGTTGTTACACTATTACATCGTTGAAAAAAAATTATATGAAATTCAAATTTCAACATACATGGTTTTCATGAATCCAGCATCTGCACTACAATTGCATATTGCAGTAATTGTGACAGAGACACAAAACCTGAAACATTTACT